TGTAAACCTGTTCACGATGCATAGAGAATGTACATGTGATGTTGAGATTTTCAAGATGTTCTGTGATGACAACCATTCCAGTATTAGCCGTTGCTCGTGGAAGTGTGTCACTAAACTTCAAAGCATAGCAAAGAGCACTGCCTGTCCACGGAAGCCATATTGACCGAATACTCCAGTGAATTTGATGATGTTTGCAAAAGGTATAACTCTTGATAATAGACGTTGCTCTGGCTGTGGTAAGACTCGAATCACATCTGGAATTTCACCAGGATCCAAATTATTCCAGTGAGCTTTTGGCGGTGCAGCTCTATTGTTACTGCTGATGTGTGGCTTGCAACGTGAACACATTTGCAATGTTTGCTTTGATGACAATTCGGTTGGTAGATAGTGCAATGCATTTTCATTACCTCGTACTCTGTAAATATTATTTGGATAGCAGCGTTTGGTGCCGATTTCACAGATTTGATTGCAGAATGTATTGAAAAGGGCAACACTGAACGAATTGTCCACCACAAATTGTCCACCACAAGCAGCTTAATTTTGAAATGGAAAAAAACATCAATATAAATGTTAAAAGCTCGCTTTAAATGGGGTTAGTGCAAAAATGATATCACGGACCCTCTCCATGCATTGTCCCGTTGGATGCACTACATCATAATCAACTTTTGTAAAGACACCAAAGCATTGAATGTGACTGTTGACCTTAAATAAGTAAAAACACAAGAAATGACAATTCGGTTGGTAGATAGTGCAATGCATTTTCATTACCTCGTACTCTGTAAATATTATTTGGATAGCAGCGTTTGGTGCCGATTTCACAGATTTGATTGCAGAATGTATTGAAAAGGGCAACACTGAACGAATTGTCCACCACGAATTGTCCACCACAAGCAGCTTAATTTTGAAATGGAAAAAAACATCAATATAAATGTTAAAAGCTCGCTTTAAATGGGGTTAGTGCAAAAATGATATCACGGACTCTCTCCATGCATTGTCCCGTTGGATGCACTACATCATAATCAACTTTTGTAAAGACACCAAAGCATTGAATGTGACTGTTGACCTTAAATAAGTAAAAACACAAGAAATAGTTCCAGGAGAGTTTCGAACTCTCGACTCCTACGTTGGTATTAACATCCAAAACGTGTTCGCAAAGCACTTGTCAAATAAGGTTTCCATACAAAATATTGATTGCTTTAAACGAGGCCAGCAATTGATTAATTGATCCTGATTTTGACTCAGTCATGCATTGTGTCTGGATCTGAGTATGTGTGCTAAAGTTGGGATCGATTGGACAACGGGAACTGGACATTTTTATTACAAGACTAGTTTCACTACCCGGCTTCGCCTGAGACTTGGATTATTGTCTGGGATTAATACAACGGCCTACGCGGAGGGTGGGGTTGCGTGACGTCAGCAGGCACACTGCGTGACGCTACCGCATGCGGGTGACATCACAGATGTGACGTCACCGCTCACTTGCCGTCCAAAATATATCCATTATTGCGCCCCCCCCCCCGCCCCCCCCAAAATACAAAAGTCTATTTTTATACTTTTTACATTGTGTACAGTCTGGAAGCTACCCACATGCCAAATTTCAAATTTGTTGCATGTCGGGAAGTATGCTAAACATTTCAAACAGACACACATTCACAAATTTCCCTTTTATATAGAGATTTGACCACGGCATACAGAGGAATTAAGTTTAATAGCTCGATTGGACAAGGGGAACAGGACGACATTTTGATTACAAGATTTGACGATATACAGAGGAATGAAGTTTAATAATAAAAAAATCACAATTTTGTTTAAATCACCGTCGAGAAGTACATCAATGATGCGGCGCCTGCTCCCACATCAACGATTGCCTGATTTAATTGATTATTTTAGAAATTTATCTGCCTAAGACACGTGGCGCCTGCTTCTTGGGCGAGACGATTCGAGAGTGTAGGGACCGCGGCGTTTTTGACCTACACAAATCTATATAAATAATAAGGCGTCCATACAAATCGTTAATTGCTTTAAAGGAGCCAATATATTGAAGGCGATTTTGATACAGGCATGCATTGTCACCGGAATTGAGCATGTGTGCAAAATTGGGGATTGATTGGACAATGGGAAGTGGACGAAATGTAGATAAGATTTGACCACGACACAGCTTTCAAGTTAAATAAAACCACGTAGAATGGAAACAAAATAATACAAATAAAACATAATAAAATAAAAATTCTCACGACGTTTCGGCCACAACACAAGTAGCCTTCCTCAGGTGAAGAAACATAACTGTCGGGAAGACAGCGCATCAGTGAACACTGCCAAGCTTGGCAGCGTCTTATAAGCTGGGTGGGAGGAGCAGAGCACCTTGACGAAGGAGTTTACATATCAACAGAAGGATTTAGCATTGAAATAGCTGTGTTAATGTGTTGGATTATCAGGATGTTAAAGTCAGAAATAAGCATGTAACTGGGAGATTAGCACCACGGAAAGCGGCGAGCTTTGTTCAGACGGACGAGTCCATCTATGTTCGGAATGGAGGAGGGCGAGAGAGAATTTAGCATTTAAATAGCTGTGTTAATGTGTTGGATTAGCTGTATGTTAAAGTCAGAATGTTTGTGTGAGGGATTAGCATTTCAGGTTTCTTTTTTCTTTTCAACGTTGGCACCACTTAAAGCGACGAGCTTACAGCCCACACAGTGGCAGATGTAACGTAGCAGGTAAGTTGGTTGAGTGGCGGGTGTGCGGGGAGTTGTGCAGCAGGGATAAGTCGGGCAGGACGCTTGGGAGATGCCTCTCTCGGATCGTCACCTGGAAGAGACGCATGTCCGCCCAACGCCCCTGCCCCCCGGCTTCTCTGAGAGAAACTTTAGCAGAGCGCGATTCGACCGAGACATTCGCTTTGAACCGAATCACTCGAATTTGCTGCAGTCACTCCCTGCAGAGTCCAGGCTCAAATCAAATATCATTCAGGCCGTCCAGTGAGCCCATTCATTCACCCGCCACTCATCTCGTTCGGTCAACCACTGATGGAATTCACACACCCGCTAATCAAATCGACTAAGGGGCCATCCATTTAGAGTAGGTACGCAAAAAATCTGTCAAAACTTGACCCCTCCACCCTCCCTGTACTTTATACACCCCCCCCCCCCCCGAATCCTATAGAATGGCTGATATTTAGATATTTAATCCACGCAAAAACGATCAAGGATTAATCATTTTAACGTGTTTAAGCAAACAGATAGTCAATCACCACTGATCTCAATCGACCACCGACTCCATTTATGCAACGACTAGCTTTACTACCCGGCTTCGCCCGGGACTTGGCTTCACCACGCCCGGACGCCTTTGTCTCTCCAGTGGCGATGTTCACACACCACACCAGTTACTCGTTTGAGGCTGAGTCGGCCTAGGGGAGGCCCAGGACCGGTTCAAATAATCGTCACCGGTGGTGGCCGTGAGCGGGAATGAAACTCGGGTCGCCGGGTTCGTAGCGCAGCGTAGCGCTAACCACTACACTACCGCTCCACACAGACACACACACAGACACACACACAACTTTCAGGGTGCGTGCGGCAGTAAACGACTGAAATAATAAAGCAATGCTGCGTGAAGAACGCCTTAGACCTGCAACACATTTGTATTTCACTTTACCAGCGGAGGGTTGGGGGGTGACATCAGCAGGCACGCTGCGTGACGCTTCCACATGCGCGGGTCACATGACAGATGTGACGTCACAGCTCACTTGCCGTGCAAAAAAAATAGATGCATTATCGAGCTCAACCCCAAAAATACAAAAGTAATTTTTTTTTAATATTTTTTGCATGGTGTACAGTCTGGAAAGTGCCCACATGGCAAATTTCAAGTTTGTTGCATGTCGGGAAGTACGCTAAACATTTTGAACAGACACACACAATCACAAATTTCCCTTTTGTATATTATAGATAGGATGTATCTCATCAATCATTCGCTGGTCTCATTAAATCACGACGTCACTCGTCTCATTCGCGACCGCCACTCCGCGCGCGTCGCGATATCCGCCGTGGCGGTGCTAATTGAGAAACGAAGCGCTGCGAAAAGGTGAAAACAGCGGTGACCCCCACCACCACCACCACCCCTCTCTCCCTCTCTCTACTCCCGGGGCACCTCGCCGTAGCTCTGCCCACACCCGGCACCGGCGTTAGCGCCACTAACCTCACGCCCTGCTCCTGCCATCGGCCCCGGCCATGGGTCTCACGTGAGCGCGCCCAACCCCAACCAAATCTCTCGACCTCTTACGCCGACGGGTAGATTTATAAAAGCACTTGTCCCACCACCCCCCCCCCCCTCCCTCTCTCACCCTATGTCCCATCTTTAAACACTCCCCCCCTCCCCCCCCCCACACGGCGTGTCCCCCTTCTTGGCGGAGCGGGGGGGGGGTGGAGCTGCTCCCCGCGTCTCATCGCGCTCGACGCAGCGGGGACGCGCCCAGCGGCACCGCTGCCTCGGCCCCTCGGGTCCGCGCTCCTTCCACGCGGCCGCCTCTTCGTATACAGGATAAGGGCTGAACGAGTAATCGATTTTAAATCGCAATTTGAAACGATGCGATTGGCAAATCGCAAAGGCTGCGATTTTTTTTTGCCATTTGAAAAAGTTCTATTACTTTTTTATTATTATTATAACTTTATTTATTTAACTTAACAATTGTTCTGTGTTTGATTGTTCCATATCAATTAAAACATTTTAATAAATACATGTTGGAAGCAATTAATATACTTTAAGTTCTCATCCTCGCATTAGAATATATAGTGCAGTTCATATTTCCATGGCATCGTGCGGTAATGCTCCAGCACGCGTTTTAAATCTATTACGCGGTGAATATTGAAGTGAAGCTTGACTTTAAAAAAAATCGCAATATCTGTCATAAAAAATGGCAATTAGATATTTCCCCCAATACAGGAGGAGGAAGAGGCGTGAGGAAGAGATCTCCACCATCAACATTCATCAATCACTGCCCGCGGTGTGGGGTGCGTGGGAGGCGGGGAGGGAGGAGGGAGCGCTTCACGGAGCGCTCCTCCCCATCCAAGGCGGGGATCTACCGCCCCCGTTCCACCGCCGACACCGCCGCTGACGACGCAGCCGCCTCTGTTCACCCGTCGTGACCAGCAGCAGCAGCAGCAACATCGGCATCGGCATCGCCACTCGGGCCGCGTGCGTTGCTCACCGGGCGAGGCGAGGAGGTGAGATGATCGATCTCTCGGAGAAGGAGAACGATCCGCTCCGGCCCTGCGAGCGCAGCGCCATGAATGGCCACGCCGAGTCTCCGGTGAGCGCGTCCGTGGGTGCGTGCGCCTGTCGACCTGTCCGCCTGCCTGTTTACCTGTCCAGTCTGCTTGCCTGTGCGCCCTCTCTGTTTATCTCTCGATCTGTCGGCGTGTCTGTCAGTCTGTTCGCCTGTCTGTGCGCTGATAGCACACTGTCCCATCATTGTCATCAGCAGCACAAGCGGTAAACCGCATCCGCCAACTGTTGTGCTCATCATAATCACCATTAACTCCATTTCTCATGACAAGCATGAATCACAATTACGTTAACAGCATCTGTTCATGGCATTACTAATAGGCATAAGCCGCTTATGAGAGCCCGCTGAGACAACAGGTCTCTTTAGCGAGCAATACCTTCATTAACAAAAAAAAATCGACATTAAGTTGATACGGAGCAACAGTGAATGTAGAATAATGGTGCAGGATTAACCATTATAGAGACCCTTCACCCCCGGGTCCCGCGATTCAACCGTTGTCGTTGTTACTCGCAAGTGCCCACGTCTCGCATCATCGCCTCTGGCACGCCACAGTGCGCGGCGCGCACTGACCGGCAGATGACACGGCGGGTGGTCGTCCCTCTTCTCTGCTGTGTCTAAGGTCTAAACCCGACATTTCCACAACACAGCTGCTGTCCACGCCTGCTTTCATCGTCACCGTGTAAGCCACATGGTCAATCCACTGCTCGTAAAGGTCTGAACCACAGAGCCGTCATGACCTCACGATCTCACACCCGCGCAGATGAACCGATCTCACCGCTCCATCTCCGCGGTGTTCGTCCTCGCTAGGCCGCGTGCTCCCTCCCTCGGCTGCCATTCCGCAATCAGTCTCGTCCACAATTTGGCCATCCACCCACGTTCTGGCCACGAAGTGTCCTGGCCAGGCCCGCTTACTTTCCTTCACAGCCAGCGCGGTGTCTTCTTCGGCTTATGTTCTTCAAGCGTTGCTGTTCGATAGCGTATCTGCCTTCGCCGTTTGTGTAAAGAGTAGGCCTGTGTTTGCACAGACTTAATGTCGTGTTTTTCCACATAGTGCACTTATTGTCTAATTACATGAAGACAATCGACACGGAGTGCTACTAAGGTGTACGTTGTGATTGTCTAAAATGGGCTAGACAGCTGAGCCTACGCAGATGAGGACATTCAAAAAATACGATGTACCCCAAGGATGACTAATTTTCTCCTTAACTATTCTGCTAAACACATCAAATAAGCTTTCCCCATTGTCAGTGAACCAAGTAATTCGCCTCCTGTGGAGTGTGACGCTAAAGCCGATGGAAAGCGGGCACGTCTCACGAGCGGGTAATCGTTTAGTATACAGGTAGTCCTCTACTTACGACGGAGATGCGTTACGACGACCCCATCGTAAGTAAAAAATATCGTAAGTCGGACCATCGTAACTCGGGGACTATCTGTATTTAAATTAGTGAATGCGTCAGTGTGATTCGGCCCCGTTCTGAACATCAGCATCGAGTCGCAATTCGATCAACTGACCAGCGTTTAAAAGTCATGAAGTGACATACATTACATACATTTTGATTTAAAGCTTTCGTGACTGCAGGGATTCATATTCTTGGCTCTTTCGGTAAAGTCACGTAGCAGGGAAACAATAAAAAATAATACGAATATATTGTTTCATATTTTTCTTATTTTATTGTTTCCCTTCTACGTGACTTTACCGAAAGAACCAAGAATATACATTACATACATTAAATGAAAAACAACCGTGTACATGGTATTAGCTTGCTATGGGTTGTGGGGTCTTAATTACAGTATACCCAGATATTCTTTGTAAACGAGGAAAGTGACCTCAATGAGCTCTTACCTGTTTGTACGTTTTTGCAGTCCTGGTGCCGTGAATAACCGCCGGCATATATGTGAGCAGTTGTTATATTCAAACTAAACTGAACTATTTTGTATTTATTTGATCAGGTAAGTCCCACTGAGCTGTATAACTCTTTTTTCAGAAGCGACCTGGCCACAAATGATTCCTCAACGAAGTGGCTTTGGGGCCGTCCATAAATGACGTCACGCGATTTTGGACGATTTTTGACCTTCCCCCCCCCCCCTCGTCACACGGCGTCACAAAAAGTCAGACCCCCTCCCTCAAATATGACGTCACACAGCTCTGCTCCCCCCCCCCCCAAACCATATTTCCATTTTGAAAATAAAACATGCTTCAAATCGCTTTAAACTATTGTCATTGTAGTGCGTATTTAATGTGGCGCTGCACTCTGATGTTGTAGGAAAAAACATTTATTAAAAAGTGTATTTAATTAAGTAGAACATGTTGTCTATATTTATTTAAAGTTGCGCATTTTGATGTGACGTCACATTTCTCAAACCCCCCCTCCCTCGTCACACATCGTCACAAATGTCTGACCCCCCCCCCCCCCCCCCTAGGTGCGTGACGTCATTTATGGACGGCCCCTTATCACGTGGAAATTTACAGCAGCCAAAGTCTCTAAACGCGTGATGTTGATTGTAAATGTGGAAGGTAACACCGGAGGGCCCGGAGAAAAATCCACGCGACCACGGGGAGAGAGACGCGCAAACTCCAAATATACAGCAGGCGTCAGGGTCAGGATCGGACCCACGACATCCTGTATACCAGGCGAGGTAGTTAACATCTCGCCACCGTGGCGCCCCATCAAGCCATCAGTCTATCCGTGGACACTAAAATTAAGTTTCACTTTGTAAGAAGGCAGTAGTTGTGTATGGCCTGATCCCTGCCCCAGGAACTTTTGGTCACAAAATATTTTATGTGAGCACTGAACCATCGGCCGTGCGTGCACCCTTGTGTGTGTGCACACATGGGCATGCGTCGTGCGGACCCAATCGGTGCTTGCTAACAACACTTGTTCCAGCAGACAGCGTGGGCCATACAGGAAATATTTGTATTTGTTTAATCACTGTGGCTACGACCAGAACACTTGCATTCGATTTCTGAGATGTTCATTTAAAGCAGGTACAACTTACGAATAAAAAAGATGTACTATATGTATTACGAGAGTGTGGCTGGTCAGCACCACGCCCGGCCGCCTTTGTCTCCCCAGTGGCAATATTCACACACCACACCAGTTATTTGTTTGAGGCTGAGTTTACCTAGGGGAGGCCCAGGACCGAGTTCAAATAATCGTCACTGGTGGTGGCCGTGAGCGGGAATTGAACTCTGGTCGCCGGGTTCCTAGCGCAGCGCGTTAACCACTACATTACAATGCTTTACGTTTCCATAATGCGAGGGTCACATGACAGATTTGACGTCATAGCTCACTTGGCGTGCAAAAAAGATATGCATTATTGAGCTCCCCCCCCCCCAAAAAAAAAACAAAGTGTATTTTAATAATTTTTGCATGGTGTATAGTCTGGAAAGTACCCACATGGCAAATTTCCAGTTTGTTGCATGTCGGGAAGTACGCTAAACATTTTGAACAGACACATATTCACAACTTTGCCTTTTATATATATGGATATTTGAAACAAGTCTGTGGTCGTCCCCTAGGTCAACTCAGCTTCAAATGAGCATTTAGTGCTTTGCTTAAATTGGTAAAAAGTTACGTTTATTTTCAAGTTTATTTCGTGTGACCAGGTGAGAACTCAAGAGACCACGATGAATTGTCATTTGTAAGAGTGACCTGGGGCATTAGTCTGCCAGTAGGGGGCGATAATGGTTGCTGTTTAATCCCATTTGAGAAATCTGGAGTGTAATTGTCGAATTTGGAAAGTTTGGACCCACACACGGCCTACTCTTGCAAATTACGTATTTGGATATTTAACGTCCTCTGCGAGCGACGCAGATGGCGTGCAGTACGATTAAGAAAATTACAGACCGAAGAAATAATCAGGGCGACCACAGGATTCGAGCCGTTAGCCTCTACAAAAAGCGGCGAACGTGCTGCTCCGACTTGGCCGTGTCACATCAGCACTGGTGAGACAAAGGTGGCCAGCCGTGGGGGCTGATAGGTCCAGTCCGTAATAAGCTCTCTCTCCATTAAAGTTGTTAAAGTATTGACGACGATGATGATCGCAGTGGATGAACAATTAGCGGTACAATTAAAGCGTAGAGGGCGCTGCTTTTGCCATTACACGGGCAGCGGAGAGAAGAGGCTTCGCGTGCCATGTCCTAATCGCGCCATTAGGGGGCAGGGGTATTCATTAAGCTGAGATTTGTGATTAGTAGTGATTGCAGGACCGGTTTAACCCGCGTATGCTCCTTCTGCCAACATTGTATGCACGCATTCCAGTCCTCGCGAGCCACCACCCAACTTCTCTGTTCTTGGAAGGAAAAAAAACACGAAAATCTTACACGACGCACGGGCTTGATGATTGGTAATTATACTTCTCACGTGGCGTCAAATCGCTGTGTATACACCACGTGTGACAACAATCATACACACAACGCAGACGAGAGCACTACCTTAATATCAATCGCCACTTCCCCGTGTCATTTTAGAAATGTTTAGCAATCATCAGGCGCGTGAAGTGTGTAACCAGATGATTGGCATTGGAAAGGCGAGGACTTGTAAACACGGACAGGCGGACCGAGGTGAACCGCGATGGTTTGAGTTGGAGAAGCCCCCTCCATTTTATCGACTCTAGTTTTCACGTTGTACGAGCGACGCACACGCCTACCCGGTACGTGAGTGAACATGAGCGCTGGGGAGACAAAGGCGTCCTGGCCCACATTCACCACCCTGTCATAATGCAATAACCGATCCTAATCGTTGCTCATTAGCAGCACTTGCCCGTGACTGCCTGTATGTCTTCAGACACTGGGTTGTGCATCCCACTGGCTGCAATGAAGGAATGCCATTCATAAACATTCTGGCAATTTTGATTCGAAGACTAAAATGGGGCTTTTCACGTGGCAGGTCCCTATCTGTAAAGCTAAGGCCAACCCTATAGTATTTAACCATACCATTAACCTCACCCTTCACCGGCGTCTGCACCATACACACCACACAGGTAGCTTGGGACAGCTGTTTCTGTAGTTCCATTCTCTCCACGCTGTCCAGCACACGCGCTGCCGGCTGCTGTGGTGACTTTAAGTGCACGGATCTAGGGACGATTTGGACTTAAGGGTCCAGATACTGTATTGGTTTAGGTTAACAACATGAGGAGGAATTTACTTACTCAGGAAGACACACTTTTCAAAAGGCCCCCTCTTGGAGTATTCTGTCAGCTCCGTACTACCTGGTTCCATGTGTAGGAAGGGAACCGGATGACAGCACACATCGGGGTGGTTTATATACCTCACAAAGGGATCACAAACCTACTTAATGCACTACCTCGTACAGGCACCTCGCTGCCCCGGTGGCGAGATGTTAACTCCCTCGCCTGGTATGGAGGAGGTCGTGGGTTTGATCCCGATCCCGACCCTGAGATGCGTGTATATTTGGAGTTTGCATGTTCTCCCCGTAGTTGGGTGGATTTTTCTCCGAGTCCTCCAGTTTTTCCCTCCACATTTAGAAACATGTGATTAGAGTATTTTGCTGCTATAAATGTCCACGTGATAACCACTTCGTTGAGTTATCATTTTTGGTCAAGTACAGTGAGGGAAAAAAGTGTTTGATCCCCTGCTGATTTTGAACGTTTGCCCACTGACAAAGAAATGATCAGTCTATAATTTTAATGGTAGGTTTATTTGAACAGTGAGAAAATAACAACAACAAAAATCCAGAAAAACGCATGTCAAAAATGTTATAAATTGATTTACATTTTAATGAGGGAAATAAGTATTTGACCCCCTCTCAATCAGAAAGATTTCTGGCTCCCAGGTGTTTTTTAAACAGGTAACGAGCTGAGATTAGGAGCACACTCTTAAAGGGAGTGCTCCTAATCTCAGCTTGTTACCTGTATAAAAGACACCTGTCTACAGAAGCAATCAATCAGATTCCAAACTCTCCACCATGGCCAAGACCAAAGAGCTCTCCAAGGATGCCAGGGACAAGATTGTAGACCACAAGGCTGGAATGGGCTACAAGACCATTGCCAAGCTTTGTGAGGTGACAACAGTTGGTGCGATTATTTGCAAATGGAAGAAACACAAAAGAACTGTCAATCTCCCTCGGCCTGGGGCTCCATGCAAGATCTCACCTCGTGGAATGATCATGAGAACGGTGAGGAATCAGCCCAGAACTACACGGGAGGATCTTGTCAATGATCTCAAGGCAGCTGGGACCATAGTCACCAAGAAAACAATTGGTAACACACTACACCGTGAAGGACTGAAATCCTGCAGCGCCCGCAAGGTCCCCCTGCTCAAGAAAGCACATATACATGCCCGTCTGAAGTATGCCAATGAACATCTGAATGATTCAGAGGACAACTAGGTGAAAGTGTTGTGGTCAGATGAGACCAAAATGGAGCTTTTTGGCATCAACTCAACTCGCCGTGTTTGGAGGAGGAATGCTGCCTATGACCCCAAGAACACTATCCCCACCGTCAAACATGGAGGTGGAAACATTATGCTTTGGGGGTGTTTTTCTGCTAGAGGGACAGGACAACTTCACCGCATCAAAGGGACGATGGACGGGGCCATGTACCGTCAATTCTTGGATGAGAACCTCCTTCCCTCAGCCAGGCATTGAAAATGGGTCGTGGATGGGTATTCCAGCATGACAATGACCCAAGGCAACAAAGGAGTGGCTCAAGAAGAAGCACATTAAGGTTTAGAGATGGGCGGGGCAGCTAATGTTAATGTTTGAGAGGTCTCCGTAACCTGCAGTAGGTCTACACCAATCAAAGAGCTGTTTATAAAGGTTTAGAGATGCTTGTAAATGTAAGCTCGGAGAGAGCTCGGAAAGAGCCGTCGCCACATGGAGGTGGAAAAAGATGGCAAGCCGCCATTTACTAACACAGCTAACAGTGGCTGTGTTAGTGAATGTAACTCAGAGAGTCGAAAATAACTGCTCACATAGGTAGGGTAGGAAGGGAACATCACAGCCAGTTAGAACATAAACTGGTTACAAGCATCTCTAAAAACCTTTGTAAACAGCTCTCTGATTGGTGTAGACCTACTGCCGGTGTCAGAGCCCTCTCCTACATTAACATTAGCTGCCCTGCCCATCTCTAAACCTTTATAAACAGCCTACCTCAGAAGCTTTCCCCCTCTTTTTTCACCTAATGACGATTGCTTGTGTTGCGATCGAAACGTCGTGATATTGTTATTATTTTTCTATCTACGTGGCTTTACCGAAAGACCCAAAGAATATGAATTCCTGCAGTCACGAAAGCTTTAAGTCAAGATCATTACAATGATTACACAACTGACTTTTAATATCGGGGAAAAATGAAAGACTTCCAGATTCTCCAAGGATTGCAGCCACCTTAGCAAAGAGGACAACCTGGGAGGGCAGAGGCTGCAGAGCGAAAGATCCATTTTATGTTTCACCCCTTTCTTGATCTCAACCAGGAGCGAGAGAGGCCTGCATTAGTAGAGCCAGTGTATGGGGTGTCGAGTGATGCTGCAGCGATAATTGTAAATCGATTCCCATGTTCATAGAGAATGGGATGGGGGGGGGGGGGGTTCTGATTTCCATCGTTCCCATCGGCTTTTTTTACCGCAGCAGGAAATGTGCTTTTCTTCATGCGAGCCGCACGCAGCATCCACATCGGCCTCACTGGCGGTCGGACACCGCGCCTTACGCACACTAATACTCATGCAGTATTAACGAAAGCTTTTGGAACTTAACTGCACTCCCTCCCTGCACAACGCTACAGAAATGCCAATAACGACGGCGCGTAGAGTGCACGCCGTGTAATTGAATGCGTAAACGTTTATTAAACCTCCGGGTCGACGTTTGCGATACACCTCGACTGTGACCCGTGAGTGAAATGCGAACACTTTAACGAACTAAAGTGGTGTACTATGGTGTAAGGCAAATGTTTAAATTTGCATAGTCTGTTAACAAACAAAAAAATCCGCATAGTCTCATGCCCTGGAGCAGCAGAAATAGAACCCTAACCCTGTTGTACACAGGCAGAATTTTTCAATTCCATAATTAGCGTGTACAAGTGAAGCAATCTTGTCACTCCACTGCTGGATGAAGGGGCTCCCCACACCATGCAGGGTTATTTTCCCATACTTCACCATGCTTCTCATTGTGGGTTCATATATGTGGAAGGCATAGATGTTGCAGCAGAGTACAATACAACAGTGGTTTTTGCGGAGCTGCTGTCTGCTGACAACATTTTCCCGCATTGGCCTGGTGGTTGGCAAGCACTAACCAGGCTTAAAATCCTGCTAAGCTTCTGGAATCTCACGTAATTGTGGTCGCATTCCTGAAGAAGTGGTCATAGGTGCATGTGTGGACTTGTGGTATAAACGAAACTATTTTTTTATTTTACCAGGTAAGGCCCACTTAGCTATATAGCTCTTTTACAGAAGCGACCTCGGCCACAAATGATAGTCCATCAAATTGACTCATCGTTTGGAAATTTATAGCAGCCAAATACTCTAAACGCATGTTGATTCTGAATGTGGAGGGAAAAACCCAGAGTACCCGGTAAAAAATCCACACGACCACGAGGAGAGAGACATGTAAACTCCAAATATACAGGCATGCGATCGAACCGACGACCTCCTGCACACCAGGCGAGGCAGTGAACATCTCGCCACCGCGGCGCCCCGTATGTAGTGATGGAATTTCCCTGCGGTTTGGACGTGTGTGTCACACCCACGCCGCACTGCGAGTGTGAGTGCCACCACACTCCGGATATTGCCAGTTGGCGGCGGTGGCATTGGTGGCGATGATGTCCTGAGTTTCCGGAGGCCACAGTCACAGAAAGGATGCTGCTCGAGGTTATTTCTGATCGAATTCCTCCGCGCCCCCCTGGGGTGACCGCTTTGAGTGCTGCCGGAGAGAGTGGGCCCAGTGTGGAGTCGGAGAAACGTCACGGAGATCGGAGCCCAGGGAGCGGGGAATTCGTGAGATTCCACGTGTTGACCTTGCAGAAACAAAATTATTGCCAGGGCCTGTCAGAGAGATTCTATAAGGACCACATTAATAAATAGTAATATGTTACTCAAATTCGATAACCTAATGTTTGGCTCACGTTGTTGCCAGATCTTCTTGCAGCAATTGTGTTACGAAAGAAGCACATTTATCTTCAGGGTTTACTACGTTTAGTGAGAGGAAATAGAGTGTGGTTCTATGAGTGCTGTCAAAATGCTGAAGTCTCCACTCTAAAAGGGGAAATTGAGTTTAATTTGTCATCTTCCTGGCTAAAGAGATAAAGGTTAAGTCAATTCCACCATTAATACTGTACAGTACTGTACGTGATTTTTTTTTAATCTACTTCAATTGGCAATCGCCCCAGCAGACAGGAGTCAGATATGAATCAAACTTCATAACCCCGGTGAGCTAAGCCTTCTAATGCTCTGGGCTATTTTCGTTTAATAGACGCTTCTGCTTCCATCTACTTCTCCATCTCTCTGCTCATGCGCCATGCAGCTGCAGAGGCTGAAGAAGTCCCTCTCGCTCAAGCCCAAAGTGCTCAACAAGCGCAACAAGAGCAGCCAGGAGGGCATTCTCCAGTGTTCCAGGCAGCAGCAGCAGCAGCCGCCGCCGCCACAACAGCAGCAGCAGCTGCTGCCGTCGCCCGCATCTAGCGGCGACCCTGAGGTGGCGCCGCAACCTCCGAGCCCAACGTACCCACGTGGCCAGCCGGGGCGTGCCGACCGGACCCACACCTTCCAGGAACACAGCTTCAAGAAGCCGACTTTCTGCGACGTGTGCAACCACATGATCGTCGGTACGTGACAGCCCGCACAGGGCCAGGGTGGCGTCATGGTACCGGCGCCACTCCGCGAAGAATTCGTCCGTGCCCCCCCGCCGCCCCCCCCCCCCCCCCCCCCGAGAGGAAATCGGTGCGGCCGGCCGTTAGCAAAACTTTACCGGCGCCAAATTTCTGTATGTGGCCAATAAAAGTGAATTGTATGATAACGCACATTTTACGTAGTTATCACGTAAATACGTTTTATTAGATGTCTATTAAAAGTGCTACCTCAGCAGGTTCTGACAATATCCAGTCTTTATGTCTTATGTTTATTAGACAGGGCTAATTAAAAAAAATATCTCCAATTATTTCCAGTGCTGCTGAGAGGAAATGGGTCTAGACATATATTTCCAGGACAACTATGGCCCCTAATGCATCACATTGTGGCACTACTCAATGATACCTCGAGTCACATCAGGAGAATTTACCTTCTTACTCAGCAATAGGCAAATTATTGATGTGTGTTACAGTTTCCATTGAACTGCTACGAAGTAATAATGCCTTGCGTTTTTGACACTGAACTGAGCTCACGCAACAATACGCGTCAATGCGAAATGTATTGGAATCGATTGCTGTATTAACACATCTGAACCCATCCCTGCGAGGTCACATTGCCTGCGTCATTTCCGAATTTCCACAAATTCGGACATCAACACGAGCACCAATAGCTTGGAGGGATGAAGACGGAGGCTTTGGGGAGGAGGTTCAGAATCAGAAGCAGAATCTTTATTTAGACTGGAGGAATCCGATGAGCTATGAAGCTCCTTTTCACAGATGACCATCAGCCCTTCTTTCTACGTGGACAACAACAAACCATGCAGTGCAACCGTTATGGCTAAAAGTAAAAAATAAAGATACAATAAATAAATCATGATTCACTACCTCCTTCAGATGATGATTCTTCCGTGGTGGGACGGCCAGCGGAATCCAGAGGTCGCCGTTGTAATTCGATCTCCCGGCACGGCAGTTGAAACGACGGCCACGTTTGCGAACCCCGCCAGCCCTCCCTGCTTTTGTTCACTCGGCAGCAAAATATGGGTTCACCGCGGTTAGTCGATTGCCATGATTGCATGTGGTGTGGCAATATGTGGGTACGACAACCTCTATCCGAGATGTCGAGCCAGCGTGGAACTGAAGGCCAAACACCCTCTCGAGGCGCTCCTCAGAGATCACCTCTAGTGGGGGGGGGGAGGGGTCCCTTCTGCCAGTAGCGACACATCTACCGCTTTACCTCCACGACTCGATCAAATTCCTTGCGCTCTCACGTCCACACGAACTGTCCGTTTAAAACAGCTGCTCCCGAAGCGGGTTATTTGCGTTTGTTTGTTGACGTCAAAAAACCTCTTCCTAAAATGGTTTTGCCTCATTTGTTGTGTTCGCCTTTGGCTCTCAATTCATCTCCTGGGTCGTTCCGTGTTTTCTCTCTCGTTTTGTATGCATGACGCCTTTGGACACTTTGTGAAAGGCACTTTTCAAGTGCAAATTATTATGATTGCCATTATTTGCGTGGAAGGGGCCGTTGCCGTCGGGGGGGGGGGGGGGTGCGGCGGGAAGATGGCTCGCGCCGAGCGAGCGAGAGGCCGCGCCGAGCGAGCGAGAGCGAAGTGATGCTCTCGCAGTGCCAGCGCATGAGTAGATTTACGCGCACCTCTGTTTGGCATCACCCCAGAGGCCGCCAGACTTGGAACTCATAAATTTCGTACGTTGCACTTATTTTGTGTTCGTAGGCTGCCCATGTGCATGATTGCATACGATTAGGTTTTTTCCGGCATCTGAAGCTTTAAAAAGCCATTTGATGTTTATGATGATGTGAAATGAATGGGCCCACATGTATGACACACTCTTTAAGGCTTAATATTAAGTTTCTGTCCGTTTTCAATTGCGCCCCGTGCTTTTTACAGCTGACGGTTCTGGCAATCTCACATTAATAATGCTCTTGAGAACCAGCAGTCGAAAGGGGTCAGTATTCTAAACGCCATCGTGTGCGTGAAATAAAAAAAGGCACAGCGACATGTCCATAAATGCTGAAGGAATTGTCGGCTAAGGGAACAAAATGAAGTGGTAACAGTCTTCTCGAGGTTTACTGGCATGGTTTAGGTCGGTTGGCTACATACGGTATGAAAGAAGTTGATACATGCATACATGCTTGCCCTCATCATCGTCGTATCGTTCGTAATGTACCTCCCTCGACATTTCTCAACACTAATCCCTTGTACTCAGTGCTTCACGGTTGGTTGTTGCGGGCCAAAGGAAGGCCGAAAATAGGTTGTCCTCACTTGACTCTACATCGTCATCATCGGCCATGGTTAATCCACTGCTAGATACAGCCCTGAAGATATATACACAGCTCTCGTTTATTTTAAACGGATGATTGAATCCTCGATCATGGCTATTTATTTATTTATGTGGGTAGCCTGCAGGAGGTGAGATGCTTTATGGCGACTCGCAGACACGACCACTTGCTCACGACACAGCAGCTGTGCCAAGGAAATGCATCTTAACTGGTGCTGTAGGTGATGATGGCGATGATGCAGTAAAGAAGAGGCGTATGTGGGTGATTAGGCGAGGATGATGGTGGTAATGCTGTGAATCATGACCATATGTTTGGCTAAAGCAGCTCGGTAATTGTGGTAATAACGGCAATTATATCAGTGACACCGCAGACAGACTCTCACCTTTAAGCTGGTGTTTTAGTCTGTAAATGGTATTAGTGCCTTGCTTTGCTACGATGGGCTGCAACAGTGACTTAAAAAGTAAATAAAAAATCAGATTAGACCTGTGTGTTAAGTTTATTCTCAGTGCCATACTACATTGATTTCTGCTGTTCAGATAATCGCAGGTCACAGGTCAGGCACATTGATTGCTGCCCTTTATTTAACCAAGTTAGGGCCCAATGAAAAGCATTGTATTCCAGCCACGAGTGACCCCTCAGTAAACCAGAGCGTTATGTTTTCATGCAGTGTTTTAGTTGCAGGTAATTTTAGTTTTGAACATCACGCAATGTGGAAAATGTCACGTGAATCTGTTTTTATGATTATTTTGTTCCCTTTTTCAGTGACTTCAATTTTGCTTTTGGTATCTTGTCATCTGGAGATGTTCTATTCCAAGCAGTGCTCCGCATTGCAATCTAACCGATATTTTTACTTCTGAGGGGTGGAATGTTGCCTAAGTAAGTGAAAAAAAACTTCTTCAACACTATGGAATTATTTCAACATCTATTGCTTAGTTGAGCTAAGACTATCAACTTACCCAGCTTAAATCGCGGGTTGCTGAAACCCAGATTCAAACCCAGGTTCCTTGAGGGCTTTGACTCAAATGTCTCTGCCAGCTGAAGCACTATCTGCCTCATCACGTGACGTGAATCTTACCGCAGACCTCGGTGATTATGTGTTGACTGCTTGGCCGTCTGTTGCCTAATGGTGGTGGCGGTGGCTGTTTTTGGCGTGTGTCCACCAACAGGCTCGGGCGCCAAGCCCCAGAGCAAGATGGGTGTGCGATGCCGGGCGTGCAAAATGAGCGCTCACCACCGGTGCCAGGCGTGCGTCAGCCAGCAGTGCTGCGTGGGGAAAATGGTGCGTGCCCACGGACCCCCCCCCGCCACACCCATCACAATCCCCACCTCATCGTGAAATCTTCCCTCTCCACTCGAAGCAAAGCACATGGGGATGGGGATGGGGGGGGCGGCTGCAGGAATAAATTCTGATGATTTCACAGCATTTACAATCAAGCCATTAGAAAATGTACATCGTCTATTTGTTAACACAGACGTTACTTTAAAACAGTCCTCCTTGGGATGCCTTTTCATTTTATGTATTTTGTTCACATCTATTTTTGCATTTGAGAGTAACGTTGATGTGCTGGGAGAAAATCCACGCATACCTTTAAACCCTACATTTCTAAGTTAGCAAACAGGGCTTCATTTTCCATATAATATTTTACAGGGCTCCCAACTCCCCAAACAGCTTTAGCTGAAATTAATCCTTGTCAGAACCCTGTCTGTAGCAGGGACGTGCGGTCAGGGGAGGCAGGGGTGGCAGATTCTGACTTGTCATACTCCAATGAAAGTAGCTGTTACGAAACGTAAAAAAAAGAATAATCAAATTAAATAAATATTAAGATTTTTCCACTGATCTGTGTTATAAAATGTCATTTCTGTTCGATTCCAATAATTTTTATAGTCAAAATCGGCAAATTTGCGGAGCTCTGCTGCAAATTCAGGAAGAGACGAGAGGTGAGGCAGCGACGAGCTCAGCCTCCCCTCTGATTGCACAACCCCTCAGTAACTGGATGGAGCGCGGGCAACAAGCGCGTGCCTGTTACTATCTCAGTATGTCACCAATGTAATGTTTGTAGACCCCTTCATTTCATGTCCTCGTCTTCCATACTCCAGGTAACTTATTTCACGTATGTGTATAAAGATATTCAGGCTCGCTGGTCTCGTCATGAAACTGCAATGAAAAAGCACCAGGGGAGGCAGCTATCACATCTGCCTCACTGAGGGGGACGTGGCTAACACGCCCCCCTCAGTGAGAACACGCCCCTCTTAATGAGGCCACGCCCCCTCCGTGAGGCCACGCCCCCTCAGTGTGTGAATCTGGCTCTGACACTAGCCAGCCATTGACCTCACCGCACATCACTGGTCTGTACCATACCCTGCGATCACTCTGTTCCACCTGTACGCGACCTCCATTTGATCCATCGACTCTGCTTTCAAGTCACCGGGCCTACAGCTGTAACAACAGGGAATACGGTGGTGTGAACGTGTGGTGCATGCAACGCTTGTGTTTATCGTCGGGAAGAATTAAACGAATACCCCCGATCGCACGTGCATGCGCCTTGACCGCTGTCCAACAAGCCGGGCCATTGGACTTCATCTCCGAGCGTGACCCCACGCCCGACGTCCCCGCGCACACGCGCACCGCAACGACAATTATGAATTGAGTGCCACCGATGTGCCGCGTCTCTGCTGCCCCGTGCATGCAGCCCAAGGGATTCAGGAGACACTACACCTCGCCCCTGCTGCTCAGTGGCCGCTACGCGTGCATCAAAGAGGTGATGCCCCTCGGTGAGAGCCTCCCCCCCATTCCTCCCCCCCCCCCCCCATCGTGGTCGCTATTGCGAGCGCGAAAGGTCGTACGTTAACGCGAGCGCTTGCGGTCGGTCGAACAATTCATCCCATGTGCCCGGCGATTCGATGAATTGTCACGATTGAAGGTCGCATTTTAACTTAGGAATCTTTTTTTTTTAAATCGTGCTGAATGGTAGTGTTTGCAAGGGCGACGTGAACTCATTCATCAGTATCAGCCATGGTCAATCCACTGCTGGATGTAGGTCTCCCCAAGGCAACATCATCTTTCATGATCTTGTGATAAAATAATACATCTAGAACCCATTACATGCAAATTATACAAATTAATTAACATCGATTTTTGCACACGCGTGGCAATGCATGTGTCCTGAGATTAAGAATTGATATTAATAGATGAATCAATACATGACTCTGCCCGTAGTGCTTATGAATTTAGAGGGTAGGTAGAATGGTGATGGAGTGAAGGAGTGATGGAGCCATGGTGTGAAGTACTATGATGTGTACTAGAATATGAGAATAGTTTAGGGTACCTTGCTAATTTAAAACTTTACAAGCAATCTTATAATCATGACTGCATATTGATCCGAGGGTTTAAATATATACTCTATTCTAACACCCAACACATTCCTTTAGAGTAAATCTTAACCAATTTGTTCCATATTCCATAGCATAAGAAATGGCGTGAAAATGACCTGGATACGATGCCGAGACAGAATAAAAATCTTTATTTAAACTGGGGAATTCAATGCACTGTGAAGTTATTTTTTCACAGATGTCCAGGCTGTTGTGCGTTGCCAGAATCTTAAAACGTGGAATTAAACTGATAGGTATTTGATATTCCTAAAGCATATCATTTAGACGTTTGTGACAATGAAATGAAGAATATTTTTGGTGAAATTGTAAGTTGTTCGTCCACACCTCTGCCCATTATCTTCGTGAAGAAATTAGGCCACGTGAGATTGGAGCAATAACATTACACAACCGATGTTTTCATATCATGGTGACTGATGGGGGGGCAAGGCGAAGGGCAGGTGGAGTCTGTGAGAGAAAGACTGAGTGGTGATTTTGAACAGGTATTCTCTTCGATATAATTATAATAATGCCATATAGTTAATAACAATGTCAGCCTTGGGTCAGAATGGAACATTGCCGATGTCCTGCAGTGTGAGTGAGGGTGCGATGTGATCGGGACTTAATTTCTCACTGATCATATTCCGGGTCGCTGGTCGACCGTGGAGAAGGTGGCACGTGGCTGGCGGCCATGGACATAGCGAGAGGCATCCCGGATGTGGCGTGCCAGCCGCAGACATTTTTCGGGTCACTGACCCAGGACAGGCTCGGCCGAAATGAAGCCCTGGATGTGACGGAGTGGGAAACGCGAGTGGGCGCGAGGCCACGGGTGACCGCGAGTGGGCGCGAGGCCACGGGTGACCGCGGGTGACCGCGAGTGGGCGCGAGGCCACGGGTGACCGCGAGTGAGCGCAAGGCCACGGGTGACCGCGAGACGCGGGGTTTACACGAGGCCTTGTGCGAGTGTCGTACGCGGGGGTCGGCATCTCCCACCGGCGAAGGCGGCGTCCTCCTCTCGCCCCGCAGCGTCGGGGAACAAGTTGGACCCCGTGTACGAGGCGCTGCGCTACGGCACGTCGCTCGCACAGCGCGGCCGCTCCAAGTCCGAGGCCGACGACCTCAACGACGACCCCAACGACGACCCTGCGGTGAGAATTCACTCGGCCAACCGGGAAAACCCGCAAACCCCACGGGAGCTTATGAGAGTCAACAATATCGGCACTGTTTTGCAGTATTTGTCGATACGCCATCCAGTGCTCTTCGTTTACCGTGCATGTGCTTTTTTTGCACACAGCGTTGGTGTACGGTGCTTTTTTCGGGAATATTTTGCTATTTTTTTCATGGATTTTCTGTTTTCACAGTCACACATAGTCACTTTAAGGTGTTTTTCTTGTTCGTGTTTTTTTGTTTGTTGTGGTTGCACCCGATTCAAGAGCCGAATGGCTCACAGGGCTCTACCAAAATAAATAAACTGAAACTGAAAATGAAGAGCAGAGACCCCAAGGGGTACCGATTATTGCCAGTTCATGTCACTCAGCTAGTCATTCTTCTTTTAATAATTATTGTAAACGGGCGTCCAAGCTTTAGTATCTGCAGAGATATATATAAACATCCAAACAGATGGAAATACATAGGTATGCTTTCTGGAATTCAGGGCCCTCGCAGATAAGCTATTGTTAGCCATATAATGAGACGAGGAAAGCTCTTTCTCCAATTACCGTATGCTCGTCCATCAGCCGATACAGCCTGCCAATTAACTATTGCTTGTATCGTGCATATTGTGAAGTGCACTGTGCGAAAGAAGGCCAACATACCTCTCAGAGCACATTATCACACAGGGGACGGCAGTGGTCTATTGGAAGAAGCCGTCCAAAAGACCACTGCCCGGGCAAAATCAACTGATTTTGTCCGGATTAATGCACATGTTGTTCAGGAAATGACTCCTGCCTACGATCGGGTAATATCGATTCCTCACGGCACTGTGCGAGCGTCGGTCGCCGTGCTGCGAGTCGCCCGCCACTCCACGTTGCTGCGCGGTCCTACACCACGCGAGTCCCACCGGCGTACGGCGCGGTAAACACGGCATGTGCAGCCCCCCCCCCCATTACCCCCTCACCCCCCTTCCCCCCCCGCGCCGCGCTCGCTCGTCACGCTCGTCACGCGCGGTTCCTGCGACGTCGCCGCAGGAGCTACCCGAGGTCCCGGAGGAAGCAGACGCCGACAGTGAGAGCTCGGAGACGGCGCGCGGCCCAGACGGCGGTGGCGGTGAGCCCAACTTGTACCCCCGCCCCCACCGCCTGCACTCTGAGCCCACCCCCCTACCCAGTCTGCCTGTCGCCCCGTCAGCTTGTCACCCGGCTCTTCCACCTGCTAGCAAGATGTGCGTCATTGTTGCAGACAAGGGTCAAAAGCGTCCCCGTGTTCGCCCAGGCGATGGGCAGCACTCGTCCCTGATCTCTGTGGGTGGCTTTGAGTTGGTGGTGGAATTCCCGCACTCCCGCGGTGAAGACGGGCCTCTCCGCGGTAGAACCACCGTCATTTTAGCACCACATATGGCCAATAACACCGGGAAGTGCCAATAACACCAGGAGGTGCCCAGTGGAACCACCCCTGACATGTATTGGATTTGACCAAAGTTGGGGTTTTAACTCTTGATTCACGTGAGCAGTCCTGCAGCTCCACCAACTCAGCTATATTTAATACGTAATGTACAGCCTCTTGTCAAGCCACTGTGTTGGATGAAGGCGTCTCCACACCATGCCAGTCATGGGGTTTATGTGACCGTACTTAAGCACACTGCTAAAAAAGTAAGGTTGGTGACCGGTGATGGGGGACAGTGGAGGATGGTCAGGTCTGGTTCAGATATAATTCACCACTGATGTTGACTGTGGCTACGAATCAAACTCAGCTTTCTGGGTGTTGCAATGATTGCACCACCGCTTGAGCCCAACGCGGCTATAAACAAAGCCATTAAGGTGCTTACGTGATGATGTCCGTTATCGGCCACGCTCGTGTATTCCTCGTATGTAATGATATTCTTCTTGTGTGCTCCGTAAGCCTAAGGGTGTTTGGTTGACATGGTGTCAAACACACAATTCCATCAGGCCCCACTTGGTCACGTATTACGTGCTGTGACTTGACCAAGCTTTCAACTTGAAAAAAAAGGAAAGTTTGACCGTTTTAAATGTTACACCTCAAGAGTTGATTGATATTGCTTGTACCATTATGTACACTGTCTTAGCCATGGGGATTTCCGTCAGCAGGGGAGGACATCAGCCGAATTTGTAAACAATTACACAGCACATCCAGACCGCAGAAGCACCTAAATACTCTGGGTTGTTTCTGTTCATTGGACGTAATCAGTTGAATGTAAAAAAAATACTCAGGTGTAACGCTATATGAGGCATTGCTCAGCACTCGCTTGATTACGTTTATCACAAATTGTGATTGTGCACTGTGCTCTCAGTGTTTCACACCACAGAGAACGGCCTCCAGAAACTCAGCATTCATGAACAAAAGTGGGGGTCCCTGGTGAGTGTCATTTGCTTGTGTGTGTGTAGCTCAATACTCTGGGGTGTGTCATATCTAAAGGCCTAGATATACGATGCAATTTCAGAACCATCGATGGGAATGTGATTGCATGGCGCTGGATTGCACCCCATCGATCCAAAGCAATTTTCTAAGATGAAATACCCACAATGTATTACTTCCAGCTATAACTGCGTCATAAAATCAAAGTGAAAAATAGCAAAGTTGCTCCAGTCTCAAGTGGCATTGGGATTGTGCTTATCTCCATTGGCTGCCTGAATCATTCATGTTCTTTCCATATTCCCGTGGCTGATGCCAGTTAATCCACAGGACAATCACAGTTTGTCACTTTCCACAAAATTGGGCGTAAAGTTCTCAAGCCGCAGTGCCGCCCAGCCAGGTAATAGAACAATGACCGGCGATTATGTCTGCCGGGATAATGCTGATGACCCTTGACCCTCTCTCTCTACAGCGAGGGAGGCAGGCGGCCGCCGCCGCTGCGGGGCGGTACTTTGGGCAGGCCTACACGTACGTGGTGCTGTACAAGTTTGTGGCCCAGGAGAAGGATGATCTGCAGCTCACGTAAGAACGGCCTTCCTCCCCTCGCTCTGAAGATGTTGCCGAACACGTGGTTATGCACTTCTCCGCGTGCTTTCAGTCATGCGCGCTATGACTTGGGTGTCGCCTGGGTGCATTGTTGGCTTTGGCTTTGAGGCCCCCATGGGAACACGCTGGGTTTCCTGGAGACCCCTGAAACCTGACCTCCCAGCAACTGCGAGGAGCAGCATCCAGCAGGATCCCAGCTTGTGTTTATTATTTCTAGCGTTACGGCAGTAATTGTGGTTTTGTCTTATAATATATGCATGTAAATTGAATTTTGTTTCTATGTCGGTGTTGCCATTGTTATTAAGAGTTTAATGAAAACGTATTTGTTTTCCTGCAGGCCAGGCCAGAGGCTTATTGTGATTGATGACTCCAATGAAGAATGGTGGAAGGTAATGACCACAATACGATTACGTACAAAGCAATTACTCATTGCTCATCACCACGATACACAGTTACAACGCGCAAATAAATTTCACTATTTAATTTTAGACTTTGTCATTTATTTATGCTGTTGAACCTCTCAATTAGGAGATAATTATTTGCACACTTTATATTTTCCTGGCTTCACAGGGAAAGATGGGGGACAAGTTGGGATATTTCCCGGCCAACTTTGTGATACGCGTGCGAGCTGGGGAGCGCGTCCTCCGCCTGTCACGAACCTTCGTGGGGAACAAGCAGCTGGGCCAGATTACGCTCAAGCAGGGCCAGGTGAGTGCCGAGTGACCGCGCTGAGTGCTGTGCATCAGGCTCTGGCCGGCCCCCCCTCCCTACAAACAATGCCGCCCCTCCGAGCGGCGGGGTTCAGTGATCACCACCCGTGGCAGTTGCTCGTTAATTATTCATGAACCGATGGTCGCACTTTGATTCGACAAAAATATTGAGTTGCGACCTCGTTGCCAAAATTGCCATGCGACATTGCCCGACCCTTGGTGTGCCGGGGGACGCTGCAGTGCAGAGCAAATGACGGCACCTTGTAAAACTGACACCGATCGATGTGAAATCAATGTGCCACCAGTGAGCACATTCTTTAACTCTCGCTTCGATACCAGACTCGTTAACGAGGCCATTGATTCGCAAATGGAAACGTTTTAGTGTGGCAGAGGGTTAAGGTTAGCGATACAGTGAACAATTTTGCGGAGTGTCGTAGAGTTACGGCACGAGTTGTGGCTAACATTAGGGCTGCGCATTAGAGCGGGAACAAGCAGACAGAGTTATAGTTAGAGATTGGATCTAAGCCGTTGAAATGAGCAATGTTTCCTTTTGGCAGTATTTTCACCGCAGGTCTCTATTTTGAGTGTTACGGCCCAGTCCTGTGATGGCTCCTCGTTATTTATTTACGACGGGGCTCTTAAAAGACCGGCAGCAGCCTCCGACCCGCGAATGAGTGCCTTCCTATTTGTTTTTTTTTCCACGGAGCTGGACGGCCGCCCACCGCATCATCCTTGCCTCGTGGCATGAAGGCGTTCGCGGACCTCGGCGTCGTTGCGTTCGCTACGTTGCGGAGAGTTGCTCTAAAAATACAAACACCAAACAGCGCTCGCGCGGCCGTGATTGATTCGAGGAGGTGCAACGAGCCTCCCAAGTGGTTGGGTGCTCCGGTCAATAGTTTCGTTGTGTTTTTTTACTTTGCTTCACATTTAGCTGTAGGTTTCAACCATTGGCTGAACAGCACCGTTAGGATGTCATCTCGGCCATTACAACTGGCAGTGTTTGAATTACTCGCATACAAAATCACCACGTATGCTTCTTCCTCGATTATTAAAGGGACAGCTGTTTTTTTAAGTTATTTTTTTAAATTTGATTTTACACAGTGTGTATTTGTGACTCATGTAGATAATTGTTTACATTTTTGATTAAAAGGGGTTTTGTGATATCTTACAATCTGTACAGATTATTCCACCTTTTTATATGAAACAGTCGTTGTTTGAGTTGTGCCATTGAAGTTTCCCCCCGCTTCTCCGTGGGTTCCGTGGTGCCGAGTTGTTAACTACCTCGCAGTGTATGCAGGTGGTTGTGGGTTCGATCCCGACCCTGACGCCTGTAGATTTGGAGTTTGCGTGTTGTCTCTGTGATTGCATGTATTTTTCTGCAGGTCCTCCGGTTTTTCCCCCCACATTTAGAAACATGCATTTCGAGTGTTTGTTCGTTATACATTTCCACGCGATAAGCCACTTCGTGGAGCTGTAATTTGTGGCCAGGTCGCTTCTAAAAATGAGTTATATAGCTCCGTGGATTTCAGTCCTTCACGGCGTAGTGTGTTACCAATTGTTTTCTTGGTGACTATGGTCCGAGCTGCCTTGAGATCATTGACAAGATCCTCCCGTGTAGTTCTGGGCTGATTCCTCACCGTTCTCATGATCATTGCAACTCCACGAGGTGAGATCTTGCATGGAGCCCCAGCCCGAGGGAGATTGACAGTTCTTTTGTGTCTCTTCCATTTGCGAATAATAGCACCAACTGTTGTCACCTTCTCACCAAGCTGCTTAGCAATGGTCTTATAGCCCATTACAGCCTTGTGTAGGTCTACAATCTTGTCCCTGACATCCTTGGAGAGCTATTTGGTCTTGGCCATGGTGGAGAGTTTGAAATCTGATTGATTGCTTCTGTGGACAGGTGTCTTTTATACAGGTAACAAGCTGAGATTAGGAGCACTCCCTTTAAGAGTGTGCTCCTAATCTCAGCTCGTTACCTGTTTAAAAGACACCTGGGAGCCAGAAATCGTTCTGATTGAGAGGGGGTCAAATACTTATTTCCCTCATTAAAATGCAAATCAATTTATAACATTTTTGACATGCGTTTTTCTGGATTTTTTTTGTTATTTTCTCACTGTTCAAATAAACCTACCATTAAAATTATAGACTGATCATTTCTTTGTCAGTGGGCAAACGTACAAAATCAGCAGGGGATCAAATACTTTTTTCCTCGCTGTATATCCCATGCCTCTTTTCCAAGACACGTGTTGTAAAGTAACCCTTCCCGTCAACGTAGCTACCTTTTCACCTCTCCACGATAGCCCGACAGCATGCTCTGTGTTGGCGTAAACCTTCAACAACTTACGAAGCAATTTTTTGTACCGTGACAGTGTTTCCCGTACTTTGCGAGGCATGGTCCAATGCAGCAAATCTCTCCTACATCGCGAGGCTGCATCGCCACGCACTGCAGCAGGCACTTAGTTCTGTTTGTATAGGGAAGTGTATCGACACGAGCGCATAGTTAATTCGCTCCGTTTGGCCGATGAGGCGCGTGAGCCTCGTTGCCAAGATTTACAGCGGAGGTGCGTGGTTCACTCATCGGTAAGGGGGAAGCGCAGTGCCCGAGTGCAATGTTGACGGTCATGAAGCCTCGCCGCAGAGTTTCACAGTCGTGCTTAAATTGTCTGTCTTTGAACCAAGTCCTGTCCGTTCATCTCGCTGACGTTGTTCAGTCAAGCTATGATGAGCTGACATGTCACTTTGATTTCAAAGACATCATCTGCACGAAGGAGAGCGAGTCTGTTTTTGGTAAACTTTGTATTTTGTTTTCACGCCTCGCAACTGTACATGCGGTGCGCAATCGCGCGTCGTAGCGATGCCGAGCTGCGCACCCACACACTTTCATAACAGATTATATTGTCAAGCCTCATTGCTTTGTGAAATCCCTTCTAGTGCACTGCCACTTTGCTTCTGCTGGTTCAGCAGCGTTTTAAATCTTATTTGGGCCCTTGAGCCGTCACTACAGAGCCACATTTAGGCCACAATCACTCGGCCCTCTTGCCGCAGTTTTTCAACATTGCTCGCTTCCAACCTCCGGCCGTGTGAAATCCCTGTGAAGTCTTCCTTTAAGCTGCCGCGGCTAATCCTGCAGGGAGCTGCCCCGGTTATTATTTCTCTCCGTGATCTGGCACGCACCAGGGCCACTGGGAGCATCCTCAACTCTCGGCGTTCCAGAGCAAGGCTCATTGCGTGTCACATGACCCAGCAGCACGGTGCTCAAACCCTTGCTTTTAAACGCATATTCCACTGTACACGCAGTGTCGGAGGTCCGGTCTAGATGTCCCTGTACTCAGGCGAGTACTGGGCAATGCACCTCACTGTTGGCCACCATTCACATCTCAGCGGCCATACGCAAGATCATCACGATGCATTTGTGTGCACTATATCTGGCACATGGCACCTAGTAAGTAGGAGGAATATGGTATAGCATTGGTAAGGTATTATTTACACCTATTACATAGTAACTCTTATGTATTTATTGTATAGTATATCATATCTGGATGGAGGACTGGTGGCACAGTGATTCAGTGGTTAGCACACTGCCATATGAGCCCGGCACTTTAGTTCGATTCCCAGCCAACATCAGTGGCAAGTAATATTTGAGCCAACTCTGCCCTCCCAATCCCCCTGCCCCCCCCACCCCACCAGGCAGCACCGACCGACTTGAAAAATTACTACAAACGAACTTCGATGATCAACGTCGCATGGTGAATTTACAAAGGGCTATATATATACAATATCTACGATATGGCAAAATGTATTTATTGTATAATATGCTAAATCTATTCTATAAATATAATGCGCACCTCAAACTACTGATACCTTGAAGAGGCTTCGCTCTGATTGGGTGTCTGATGGGTACTGTAGTTTCACCTAGTTTCTGTCTCATCGGTGCATTCTTCATTGGGAGATTCCAAATGTTCTATTCCATGAGCGGCCAGTGCTGAATTGTTGATCAGATGTTTGTAGAGAGTACGTTTTGCTATTGCTGCCACTTTGCGGTTCGTGCCGAAGATCTCGTGCGAACATTGTGGGCTCTAAAAAACGTTATCACCATTATGTACAACAAACGGGACATTATAAGTGAAATAACAAAAATCACAATCTCATCTATGTTACCTATAAAAACCTCACTGAGTCTAAAGACACGTTTTCCTGCATCGGGGTGCATTGCCATTTTCCTGTTAAGGAGTCGTTTGCATTTGGGAGAAAACCCGAGTACCCAGGGAAAAAACCAACAACTCATCTAAATAAAATGACATTCAGAGATCCACACAATATATGTTTATGAACACATTTTCTCTCCTGCCATCTGCTGGCCCCCATGCAGCCCAATGGTTTTGTGAGTCCTAAATCCGCGTGGTCCTCCATGCTTGCCTCCGCGATGCAGCGCTACACGTCTGGAGCAATGTCCTCACAGCGGACGTTGATTTCTGTCCAGAGTGGCCGTGTAGAAGAGCGATTGCCCGAACAGCAGCCCGCTGTGTGTTTTTCACATGCAGCCTCTGCACTGGTGAATGACGATGGTGGGAAAGTATTCTAGCCCGTGCTCCAAAACCACAGCCCGATGCAGCCCATAAAATATTGCTCAGAGTGCAATAGCAGTAGTATTTTACAAAACTACATCAAGGTTGTGTGGTGGTAGAATGACACATTTTGGAACACTTTGATCAATATTTCCACTGAGTGTCACTGGAGATAGTGACAAGCCAATACACACTTACCTGTCAAAAGCACCAATTCACTGCTGAGTTTCCATCTAGATATATTTGCTTTTGAACTTCATTTTGTAAGATTAAGAGGTTCAAACGGGATATGCAGTGCCTCACATTTTGGTCATGCACCCGTGTATCCATCATCATCATCATTGACATCGGCCACGGTTGATCCAACCACTGGATGAAGTTTTCCCCTAGCTACCGCCACGTCTCATGAACCTGTGATGTAATAACAGAGAAGCCGTGACTTCACGGCAAGCTCGCTTTTGAGCCTCTGCAGGCTGCCCTGAAGTGCTCACAGCTCAGCCAGTTTCGGAGTCTCACTCACAAACCGACCCCCACCTCCAAAATCCTGGATTTCAGACCTGCACTGCAGCTTCATAGAGGTATACGGCAAAAATAATAAATTGGGCAATTGTCGGATGCGAGGGACCACACCTTGTGCTTTGTGTTCGCAAATGAGTCGACGACAAGAGGCAGTAGCAGCAGCAGCATTCCGCTCGTGATAGCAAGGGAGGGCGCCAAAAATAACTCGACTCGAGTATGGCTCTTTCTCGTGACAGCTGCCACCGGCAGAACGCTCTGCCGTTTGTGCGATTCAGTCCTCCTTTGTCTACGGCGCAATTTGCGGCAAATGCAAAATGGTGGAAGATTCACACACATTTGTTGATGTTCCAAAGCCAATCTAGAGCTTTGGCTAAGCTGCCTTGTGAAGTTTATGTTCCGTTTTTGCTGCCTTTATACACTCCAAGGAGCTTTTCTCACATTTTTGATGGATAAATTTCCCCCGGTGATGTATTTCTGTGATTGAAGGCAGGACTGCACGAAGGAAATCTCCAGTGCGCTTTCTGTGTGTATAAATTATCTGAAAAATAATTTTACCTTCTGTTGAAAAAAATTTCTGCAAATGAGGAAATGCAGCGGAGTTAACGACTGTTTACAATGTCATGTCACGCAAGCGAATTTAATCAACAGTGGAACTCCTCATTTGTCATTATTTTTAGCTGAGCTACATTGAACGTGAATTTCTCGGCAGCTTGAAGGCGGCAGCGGCTACGCGGACGTGCCGTTCCCGAGTCATCTCTGGAATCCAGGAAGGAAGAGGAAAAAAAATATTTGTGCGGCGTGGTGATGCTGTTGGAGCATGGCGGCCAGCCAGGGAGCACGGAAATTTCCAACTTTAGCTCCGTGTTGGTGGCCAATACTTCGCGAGTTACACTCGGGGAGCCAAAGGCTCGTGGCACGAGGACCCGGAAGCCCTTTCTTAGGTGGAGATTGCTGCATTTGCTCAATACAACCCCTATTTTGCTTTGCCCACAAGAGACCATTTTCATTGGCGAAGACGTGAGAATGTGTCTTGGAAAACATAAACCGCCACAGCATAGGGCATGGCATGCACACAGACCATCAGTTGTACGACGCATCTGGAAACGGTAGCAATTAAGTTGCTAAACAAAACCAGCCTATCTGGAAAGTTTGAGGAACGTTCCCTTGGCTAAATGGCGCAAGCAGAACCCTCTATATATATAAAAAAAGATAGTTTCGAGAGTAAATTGAGGTTGTCCTAGGCAAATAGAGAACGATCATTATCGGCACAATTTTTTTTTATTAAATGCCACAAAAACATGTTGATAGGGAAAGCCGTCACACATTTACGTAGACGTTGTTCTGTTTGTGCTTTTTACCATACCTGCGTAATGGAGGAAGTGTTCACGGTTTGAACATTTTTTGGCTGTAACAAAAAATTCTGACGGTTAATATTTAATGTCCATCGTTGGGCATGACACCCACGCACTGTTATGGCGCTCGTGCATTATTGAATGCTTCGCCCACCAGCCCATTCCACATAAGAGCATTCGCTCATGCCTACAGGCTATTGGTTGAGACATTGGGCTCTTGCAAATGTAAGCCTCAAATGAATCCATTAGTTCATGAGAACTGGGAGAAAACTTTTAGCTATGGAAAAAATGGTTATGACTATTTGTATTAATATATTTGAGTTGACGGGTTAATGTGGTGTGATATATATTTTGTAAAAGAAAGTTCAGTTTTTGACATCCTTAAATGTATTCAGGCCTCTGTTGAGATGTTTTACTTGTTCAATTCCAAGAAGTGTTTTGCATGTCGGGGTTCCATTAGCAACCCCACATGGACGAGGAGAGGACAATCATTGTTTCGCACAGATGGGTTCACCAACCCTCTTGTTGCATATATCAATGTGTTCGACATTGTTGCATTACAGAATTGTGAGAGGCGGCAGTGGCTTGGGGAGACCTTCATCCAGCAGTGATAACTATGGCCAATGTTGATGATGTTTTCCACAAACCATTGCCCCCCCGAAGCAGTGGCTGACATGTCTGCAGCATCGCGGTAGCCCGCTTTACATTCTGTGTGTACACACGTGGTGCTCCATTGCTTTGCTTCCCGGCGTTGTCACTCATGATGACGCAATGCCCCCCTGCGCCCTGCGTGCCCTGACAGGTGTGCGTGGAGAAGGGCGAGGAGTGCAATGGCTTCCTCAAGGTGACCAGCGGTCGCAAGTTGGGCCTGGTGGCCCTCGACTACCTGGAGGAAATCTGACGTCGTCCGCTGCGACTTCTGCACACGGAGCTCCTTGCCTTGCCAGAGGGTTGGCCGGGTCGGCTCTATAACCACCGCGGTTATTCTTCATTCTCGCACTGCATGCGCAGTCCCTATGAGTTAATTTATTTGCACGTGTGCCACGGTGCATACTCGCCTTCCATGCTGCTCCAGACGATCGCACAGGTGCATGCACTAAAGTCCGTGTGCACATAGTTACGTCCATCCGTCAGTCCGGCCGTGTGCCTGCATGTGAGCGATGCACAGGCAAGGATGCCGTCTGCTCCGCCGACAAGTGCCAGGCAAAACACCGTATGGCTGTTCGGTCCGGGAGTTGTTGGCTGAGCGTTATGCCCAAACATTTGATCCGTGACCTTGCTTGTCATTTGAGAAGGTGGCAGCGATAGAGGAGCCGTTTGCCTGTTGCGTGCCGGTTTTTTTTTTTTGGTTCTGGGGTAGCAAGGGACTACGGATGGCTGTGGCGATTGTGGCTCTTCACCACTGCAGTGGACTGGGGACTCGTGAAGTCTTTGAGAGCCCATTTAAGGACGTTGGTGTCACATATCCGCACGACTCGCCCACCGACCCCAGCCCAGACCCTTGCATGCTCAGGCTGCCTCAGCTGTTGCTTGCAGATGCTTGCCGCTGGTGATATAGGAAAGATCAAGCACAGGGTATTCTCAGAGGTGGCACCTCCATCCACGCCTAATGTTTTCCGAGTTTGTTTTAGGTTTCGCTGCAGTAGCCCAAAGTGTTCGTGGGCTGCTGTGTCGTTTATTGAATTTGCCGTTTTCCATAAACAATTGTGAAACCTGTTTGCAAGCTCTGCATGCGATGTTCTCATATACGATTCTTCTTACCTATACAAGATGCCTTTTCGGAAAATACACTTTTACTCTTAGCAATATCTTGAGATGTTTTGCTTTCATGCAGGGATGCTGTTTTGTACTTTTCGTCTGTCCCACTGGCCTCTGTTGTCTCGTACAGGGTTATTCGCGATCGGTGTTGGCGCATCGCCCCCTGCAAGCCAGATCTGGCACATTCGTCATATTTGTAATTTCCCACTGCGACGGCCACGAGCTGCATGAGTAAGAGAAAGGAATTGACATTCTTTTTTAATGACATATTTTGCCCAAGAGCCGTGTACGGGGCAGCTCTGCATTCACGGTCTCTGCTCGCTACGCGATTACAGAACGAGGGCGCTGCGCACGGCTGTCGAAGCTTTCGACGCGAAGTCAAAGCTGCTGAAACCTCATCTCGCTGTTGTCAACATTGGGTCGGCATGTCACGATATGTTGAATGTAGTACCTCCCAATGGCTGCATGGTTTTATGTAAACCAATGGCATCCAACCGTACACGAATGTAACACAATTGATACTTACAGTACGTGCCCAGCGTGATTAATCGATTTCGATTACACACAGGCCCAAGGAACGCCCCCTACTGGCTCATTTGCAGGCCAGGTGGTCTGTCACTGTGCCCACAGGGATGAGCTGCAGCCGGTGGTGGGGGCGGGGATTCTCTTTCAAATGCGTTGATGAGAAGTAAAATAAAACGACTGAGATGTTCCGGCCTATAGGATGGCACCACGCGACATACACAATCCTCATAGTTTTTGTTGTGAATGTAAGACACGGGATTTAGTTGACGCGAGAATGCGTTCCCGCTACCCTCCTCGACTGGTAGCGAATTACTCAGCGGCTGGATGGTGGAGGGGTGTTCCTTGTTGCCGTCTGTTACATTGTTCACGTTCTGCAGTTGGCTCACAGTCTCTCAATGGGGTGGGGGGGGGGGGTTGATAAAATAGCTACCACTTTGTGGGAAGTCAACAGTGGTTGTCCAATGGAGAGCTTCGCCCCCCCCCCCCAAACGGAGTAACGTGGACTGTTCACATCACTGGAGATGAGCAACAGCTTCCAGATTTTTTTCATGAATGCTTTCGGACCTTCATGGTGTAACATCACGAGAACATGCTTTGTGCTATTTCTCTCTTATTTAAACGGTTTTGATTTAAACAACTACTGCTACCGTGTTGCATCTGATTTTGAGACGTATAAAAACAAGCCCCTTTGCAAACATGTCTTATACATGTTTTTTTAAATATATATAACTGATCAATTAATCAAAAAAACACTGAAGAGTCACTTGCGTGTTAAGACCCGTAGGCTGTATGTATTTTTTGACGTTTTGAGCTGCCGATGCAATTTATGTTTTATTTATTAACTATGGGGTTTTTTTTAAGTTTTGCATTGACAAACTGTTGTGTTGCAATAATCACTTGCTGAAATTTAACGAGCGAATGTACCAAAATGTTACGCATTTTTATTTCCCTTTCTAATAATATTTGCAAACTTATATTTTTTTAAACCGAGTCGTGTTACTGCCAACTGAACGGCCTTCTTTGATGTTAATTTGCACAGCGACTTATAGGGAGCTCGCCTTCTTCATGGTCGTCCTCATCATCTTCGTTGTAGATATTTTATTTATGAAGCACCCTTGGCAAGATCCACAAAGCGCATATCACATGGCCCGGGCCTGGCAGAGCAGACCACATCGCAAAGACTCAAGGGGGAATCCCCGAAGTGTCAAAGGCGTGGTGGAATAACTTTAGCGGAGATTTGCGTTCACCTCGTACGCCTGCATTGTTCAACACGGAACGTCACGAATGCTTTAATGTACGCAGACCGATATAACGGAGTTACTGCTTACACTCACAAATGCGTTGAGGTCATTCACTGTCGACAATAAGGACACGGCTGCGATGACCGATCTTGTGAAGGCGTTTGTGCTTTAGCCTGTGCGCTGCCCTTTGCTGGGAGTAACAGTGTGAGTAACAGTGTGAGTAACAATGTGAGTAACAATGTGAGTAACAATGGGAGTAACAATGGGAGTAACATGAGTAACAATGTGAGTAACAATGGGAAAAACAATGGGGGTAACAATGGGAGTAACAATGTTAGTAACAATGGGAGTAAAAATTGGAGTAACAATGTGAGTAACAATGTGAGTAAGAATGGGAGTAACAATTGGAGTAACAATGTGAGTAACAATGGGAGTAACAATGTGAGTAACAATGTAACAATGGGAGAAACAATGTGAGTAACAATGTGAGTAACAATGTGAGTAACAATGTGAGAAACAATGTGAGTAACAATGTGAGTAACAATGTGAGTAACAATGTGAGAAACAATGGGGGTAACAATATGAGTAGCAATGGGAGTAACAATGTGAGTAACAATGGGAGAAACAATGGGGGTAACAATGGGAGTAACAATGTGAGTAACAATGTGAGTAACAATAGGAGAAACAATGGGGGTAACAATGTGAGTAACAATGTGAGTAACAATGGGGGTAACAATGGGAGTAACAATGTGAGTAACAATGTAACAATGTGAGTAACAATGGGAGAAACAATGGGGGTAACAATAGGAGTAACAATGGGGAGAAAAATGTGAGTAACAATGGGAGTAACAATGGGAGAAACAATGTGAGTAACAATGGGAGAAACAATGGGATAAACAATGAGAGTAACAAATGTGAGTAACAATGGGAGTAACAATGAGAGTAACAATGCGAGTAACAATGGGAGAAACAATGAGAGTAACAATGTGAGTAACAATGCGAGTAACAATGTGAGTAACAATGGGAGAAACAATGGGGGTAACAATGTGAGTAACAATGTGAGTAACAATGGGAGTAACAATGGGAGTAACAATGCGATGTCTGCCCTCCCCCTCGGTGTGGTTTGACGCCACTCTATGACAGCAACGGAGGATGGTGCTGCAGGAAGTCTGCTGGTTCACGGATGCATTTGCTTGTGAACGCGCTACTCTTTCGCCTCCATGTGCAAATTCGGCCCCTTCTCAGACATCTCAGGCCATATCCTTGTTTTATTTCATCCGCCAACGTAGTTGCCAGTTGCATGTCTCGCTGCAGCGTCTGCAGCCAACAAGACGTGGGCACTGAACGGCACCTTCGTCACCCAGGGTGGCGTGCTTTTTTTCAAACGCGTATCTGCAAAGCGTCACCTCGCTGAGTGTAACACTGGAAACGGGGACACTGTTGAGTTTTGCTCTCCAACACACTACCGGTGGTGCTGTACTAGTAACGAATTGGCACGTTCTGTTTACGTGACGAACCTTACTAATTGGCTGTGTCGGGTGGTGGCGGGTTGAACAACACATTTATATTTACGCGATCTAACCCCCAACAAAACCTATATTGTGGATGATATTGGTCGCGAAAGCCTACGCGTTAAACTGACTTCTGGGCTGTTTTGCGCTGTGGATGGAATGTTAACCCAATTTCCTTCACGTGCGGGCGGAGTTAAAATGAAAAATAGGGCACCCGTCCGGCGGTGAGCTGGCAGACTGATGCCTGCCAATCGCACGTTGCTTAACACGGAGCATCCACGCGACCACGGCCCACATCTCCGGGTTATGTTATCGGCAGCAGCTTGCTCAGCCGCGTAAAGATTGCTCCTGCATTAGCAGGTGCTCGTGCTGAATGATTGCGTGGCTATTCACACTGACGCGAGGGGGCGGTGCGGGAGGGGGGGGGGTCGTTGGAAGGTTTAGCTCTGAGACCAATGTCTCTGTGGTAATGTCAGTCTTGCCGAACCATTGACTGACAAGAGAAAATTACTCGCGATGTTTTCAATCAAGAGGCGCACCCAAGCAGGTGGGCAATAGGGGAATTTGCCCCCCCCGCCTCCCTCCATCACCGAATCATGACATTTTTCTTCAATAATTGTTGAGTGGAGTGTTTTTCATCTGATTTGGTGCGCGGGGTAGGAAAACAATTTGCACCCTCTGAAATGTTGGTCTGCGTATTCCGCGGTTGTAAATGTAACTAAGCTCAGCAGCTACCACCCTACTTGTCATTTCTGTACAACTGGAAGTCTACCATCATCCTTGATGGTGTCACGCAATGTTGTCGTCAATGCTGTCAATATATCTGATTGCGAGCACGTCAGTGCTTGGTGTCGGCGTATTGACCACTCCCTACTAAAAGCTTTACAGCGCTCGTTTTATGTTGCCATTCGGCCATTGGCAGCGAATTCCACACTGGCAATGCCATCCCGGTTTTTGGCTCCAGAGGGAAATCCTAGTGGTGCTGTTGGGATTCCGATTGCAGGTGAAGAGCTCAGCCATTGCCTGAATAGATGTTGTTGTTGTTGTTGGCGGCACAGAAGGCCGTCCACCCTGCTGCCCGTGGGCTTTGCGTGGAGGGATCTGTGTTAAATGCAGACAGGTATTCATAAAAGATACAGGCCATACAAACAATGGCCCCTTCGAGTTTGATACTTGATGAGCTGCACTGGCTACCTATTAAATACAGGATCACGTCGAAATTATGCCTACCCGTCTTCAAGGGTCACCATCAATCTGCTCCATCCTATATCGCCGATCAGTGCGTACCAGCTTCAACAGACCTAAATCGACTCCGACTACGATCCGCGGCTCGCGGCGACCTGCTGTTGTATCCACGTGTAAACCTCGTGCGATACGGCCAGCGCAGTTTCGGGGTCTCCGGCCCAAAGACCTGGAGCACGCTACCAGCTCCTGTTCGGGATCCATCCCTGAGTCTGAGCTAGTTCCGCAAAAGACTCAACAGAGTGTTGTTTTCAGAGAGCCTACTTCAACGTGTGATCAATGCGCATTCGTGATGGACTGGACTTGTAATGGTGCGAAATATCAAATGTTATTACTTTTGCGCAGTATACAGAAATATAAATTCCAGTTATTTTAACAAAAATAATAACAATGTTATTTCAATGCAATAATTTAGCTTGTGCTAATACCTGTTACATTTTTTTTTTACTTTGTGTTGTTACGAAATATACATCTTGTGTTTACAAAATTTGTGGCTTTTTTTCAGGGTGGTTTGATATATATTTATTTCATTTTTTTGTGAAACAAAACACTATGCATATTTTATGTCATTTAAAAGCGTGGATTATGTTGTGTTTCTGATTGGTAATTCATTTGGTAACTGTATTTTTATTGCCCTTGCTGTGCGTGAAGATGCGGGTTCTTTATTGCGAACTTCGTGAATGTGGCACGGTCTGAACGACGCCCCCTCAGTGATGCTGACATTGTGGTAACAATAGCAGCGATGTACTCAAAAACGGCGTACACGACACACGGTTACAGTTGACCAGGATTTACCTTGGAGTGGTGTTTTTAAGAGCACTCAGTGTCAAATCTCATCGCAGTGAACAATTTGAACACATGCTACAGTTTTGGCAACAGCAGCATCAAAGCTCTCTCCACAATGTTGCTGGCAGAGAGAGGTATTGGGACCTATGCGCCTGCTGTACTCCTCAAGCGAACACTTTATTTCGTTAATTTAAACTTTTATGCACTTTTGAGCGGTTCATACATTTTGGAAACATCTAAATGCACTGAGAAACAAAAAATTTGGACGTGAAAAAACGTAGCTATAATTTTCTTTCTTATCTAATTACGTCCATCAATTTGCACCCATGCATTGCATCCTGACGTGTATGTTCCCAGCCTCCGATTGCTTGTTATACCAATATTCATTCATGCCACCTGGCCACATTTTTCAGCGCCATTGCAAAAGCGATCCCCGTAGGATGCTCAATTCGGCAACTCAGCGAGTTTGTAAAGCGGATAAAGATTCTGCTCATTGACCCGTGGATACGGTGCATTGCAGCGGCCAGGCCGTTTTGTTGAATCTCCACGGGAGCCGAGTAATGTGCCACGTTGGAATACGATGTCTTCTGTATCTCAACACCACCACTTGAACTGCGTTATGAGTGTTGCTACTGTCAGCACGCTTGAGTGAGAGTTAACGCACGCAATTACCCTCAATTTCACCACCGCCCCAAAGGGGCCCAAGTTTGCGTCAAACAACGCAACCCGGCTGTCAGTGTTTAGTGACTCGGACGGAGATCGTTTGGAATCTGTGAAAATCGGAGCAGAGGCCTGCAACGCTGCCTGTGCCATCGTAATTGTTGTCATCGCGTTGTGCCACGTCCACCCCTCTGTTTGCGCCATGCGTTGGGCAACAAGTGCAATTCCCCCCCCCCCCCCCCCCCCCCCCCCCCCCCCCCCCCCCCATGTGTCTGCGCTTTGATTAATTATCCCTGCGGGAAGGGCCGAGGGAGTGATGCATGCTGGCATGTTGTACAGCTAGTGCTTACTAATAATAATAATAAGGCATCAGTTTGATTGTAAAATTCCGAATGGTGTTTTCTCTTTTGTACACGTCTGACAGTCCCGGCGGCGAAGCGTGGGATACTGTATAGTGTGAGAGATAACAACTCCTGTTGAGCATGTCAGAGATGTAGTTCATGAGAAAAGCAACGGTCGTATATACATGGTACA